AAATACAAAGGCCATGTTTGATTTGTTTTTTGGAAAAAAATTCAGAATTTTTTTTTTTTTATAAAAATAAAACTAATTTAATAAAAATAAATATCAAAAAGATATTTTTAAATTTTTAAAAATTAGTTTTGGCCTCTCAAAGATAAAATTATATAAAAATAATAATTACTTTTGATTTTTTTTTATTTCTTTCATCAAAATTAATTTTTAATTTTTATAAAAAAAAATTTATACTAGGTTTCTGAAAATCATACCAAACATAGGGCCTAAGAACAATAAGTGTTTTAATTTTTAGTCAAGGGTAAAAGAGTTTTTTTATTTTATTTCTCAGCTCAGGATATATAATCCCACCCCTATCCTATTATTAATAATCCTACAAATTTGTTAGATTAATTATCCATTAGTTTAATAATTCTGAAACAAAATTTCAAAATAAACAAAATTATTGAGCCCACCGATTAATAATTTCAATCCCATACTTTAATCTTGTCAATCAAACATACTCCTAAGGTTTATTAAAATTTTAAACTATGGAGCATACATCAAGATTATTTTTTTACTTATATTTTTTTTGGTCAGTTGAACGGGGGAGGAGGATCGGGATCGCACAAACGGGCGCCACAGTGACTGAGATTTAAATCCTATAAATTACTAAAACAAAAAATAATAAATTAATATATATATATGTATAATTTTAAAAAAGTAAAAAATAAAAAAATAATACCAAACTCATGAAAGTAAAAGTGATATTTATGCATAAATTTGTGCAAATGAATTGTGTGCTTTTATGAATTTGTAATTGGTTAGTCATATTTTTCACTCCTTTTTTTTTTTCTCCCAATATTTTTATCCGGCCAGTATTGGGTTGATCAAAATATTGAGAGAACTTTCGACTGTATTTGGTTCTATTCTCAAATCATGATTCTACTCTCATATTCCAATCATGTGTTTGATTATCATTTTCAAAATATGATTCTAAATAACATTTCAAAACATATTTGAAAACATATTTGGTAAATCAAAGAGTTTTTAAGTTTTTTAGTCTACCCGGTCGTTCGTCCAAACATCATCCAGGATAGTTTTGAATTTTTGGATCTATCCGATCGTCCGGTTGGTTGACCGAAACAGTGTTTTGTTTGTTTTGTTTGGCAATTGCCACTTGTTATTTGAAAAAATATGTATATATATATATTTGTTTTTGATATTTTTAAATGTATAAATTATTTTTTATAAATTATTTTTTAGACCAAAATGACAAATTATTTGGCCATTTATTTAAAATTAAAAAAAAATTAAATAAAAATTAATTTGTCACATTAATTTTTTAAAAATTAAAAATATTTTTAAACAAAACAACTAAAAAAAATTGCAACTAAATATACAATCAAAAGTAATTTTAAAGCACTAGCTGAATATTTTTTTAACAAAAAATAATATTTTTTAAAATATTTTAAATAAAAAATATTTTCATAAATTTTTGATTTTTTAAATAAAAAAATTATTTTTTTTCAATAATTTTTTTCTTGAATTGAATTTTAGAAAGAGTTTGGTTATGAGTTTTGAATAAAATTTTCAATAGAGTTTTGAGTTGTATATTTGGTTATGAGTTATAAGTTTTTGAATTAAGTTTTGAACACTTTTTTCAAAATTTATAACCAAACAACTTTTCTTATTTCAAAATTCATTTCAAAAATTCAAAACTCAATTGAAAATTCAATTCAAAACTTTTTTCAAAATTTATAACCAAATAAATTTTCTCTTTTTAAATCATGATTCAATAACTCATAAATTTAAAATTACATTATCAAATCATAATTATAAAATTAAACCAAATATAGCCTTCAATTTCTAACTACAATGTAGAGCCCAATCAAATGTTATGGTCCTTTTTTAATTGGGCTTGAGTTTGGCCATGGGCTTCCCCAAGTTGTATCAAACCAGGATTCATGGGATGCGTAGCAATTTTGGACGAAGCGTTTTCATATTATGGAGTTGTTTGGGGTGTCTTAAATAAATGTACTTTTTATCTTTTTAAATTAAAAAAATTGAGAAAGAAAATATAGATATTTAGATTAATTTTTTGACTTTTTATAGAAAAATGTGTAATAAAAAATTATAAAAATTGATTTGTAGGGTGTAGGGAAAAATTAGGATTAGGAGTTGTGCAGGGTAATTGTTGACTTTTGATGAATAATGTTAACTTTTTAACTTTTTGAGTAATTTTTTGATTTTTTAACTTTTTTATAATATGCCAAACTTGACCTATATCTCTGCCATCCTCACGAATGCTTGGGCTGGGCCTAGTTTGAGGATTTTTTCGATGAAACATGACTTAGGCCCCGTTTGGGGACTTATCTTTTTAGCCAATTAGTCAAAAAATTACTAAATTAGCCAAAAAGCCAACAACTCATACCAAAAAGTTAAAGATTCTCTTTTCTCTCTACTTTTTGCACATCTTTTCATAATTAGCCAAAAAGTCATCCCAAACATACAAGTTTTTTTAACCTACCTTTTTAGCTAAATAGCCAAAAAATTACTAAATTAGCCTGTTCCCAAATGAGGCCTTAGAACCCAGTGGGGTGACCCCACCACCCACGGATTTTTGATTGGTGGAATTTTTTTTGTTTTTTATTTTTTATTTTTTTGGGTCTTCCTCTCATTGCTCCCACATGTATGTGGGGGTGTTGGGCGCCACCCCGCTGGGGTCTGGAGCACTATGCTTTTTCTATATTGGACAATTTGTAAACCCACGTTTAGAAAAAAAAAATTATCAGACAATCCTATCCGATAAATTTAAATACCTAAGTTTTATTACTTTTTAGAATACCAATAAGTTATTTTAACTCAATATTTTTTTTAAGAATATTGATAAGTTAAAAATGGATAGGAAATATAAATAAGAAAGAGATTCTAGCCAGTTCATTGGGTGAATCGAAGTGTACTGTTAGCCCTGCAGGGTCTATTACGAGTTCCGTTTTGATGATTTGAACTATTAAATTTGTAAAACTCATTGAGTACTTCATATATCTAAATATCGATATCTGATCAGCGTAATTTTTTACAGGCATGAAGTACTCTATGAGCTCTATATATTGAATGGTTAAGATTATCGAAACATAAATGAACTCCACAAACCTAATAATATGCTCTAATCCATACGGTAAGCTAGAGAAAAACCTTTCCCCCTTATGGGTGGTTTGAAATATTCTAAATAAGTATATTTTTTGACTTTTTATAAAAAAAAAAAACGTAAAAAAGTACAGAAGAAATATTGATTGATATGACTTAAAAAAAGATAAAATAATAAAAATTGTATACTTATTTTGGGATGCCAAACCACCCATCCCTAAATAAGTAGGGTCAATACCACCATTTACATTCACCTATTTGTATTTTTATTATTTATTTATTTTTTGGATATTATGGGACCATTTGAAAACATGTCAAAACAGTCAAAAATTAGCTTTTAACTCATTTTAAATCACATAATTTTTCATATAAAAAAATTAAAAAATTAATTTTTAACAATCGTTCTAAAACACCCTATAACTGATAAGGCCAAGTGGGCCATCATCATTGCAATTATAATAAACAAACAACAATGATTCATCCCACTAAAAACATCACCACTAATAGCACTAATGTATTAAAAAAGTAAAAAAAAAAAAAAATACAACTCTAAGACTAAAACATCACATCATTAATGACGGGACCCACTGTCATCTAATTAGTGGGAGCACTAATTAGTGCTCCCAAGCATTTTTCATAAACAAAGGAGTAGAAAATGAAAAACAGTCCCGCTACGGACCACTAGAAGGCAAGCTCTAAAACGAGCTCTAACCAGGTGGCATGTGAGGCATGAAACTGAAGGCCATTTGCATATTGAGTGCAGAAACTGAAGGCCATTTTTATATCTGTTTTTTAAACATGTTCAAACCTGTTTTTTAAACATGGTTATAAACATCGTTCTTGATATGGTTAAACATTCAACAGATTTTTAAATCTGAACTCAAATGTTTAACACGATGTTTATATCTGGACCAAACCTGTTTTTATAAAAACAGATATAAATCAGCAAGATAGATATAAAAAACAGTTGGACCAAAAAAAACATGTTCAGATTTATGTTTTTTTTGGTCCAAACATAAATCTGAACTGAAATGTTTGTCCAAACGATGTTTATTCCCCTGTTTAATCTGTTATACTTCAGGTCCAAACATAAATCTGTTAATCAGTTTTGGTCCAAACATTGGTTTATACTTCAGGTCTATTATTCAACTGTTATTAATTTTGGTTTATACTTTAGTTTTGGTCCAAACATTGGTTTATACTTGAAGTCCATAATTCAGCTGTTATACTTCAATTTTGGTTTATACTTCAAGTCCATTATTGAAAGTTTAATCTGTTATTAAAACACAATAATCTGTTATTAATTTTTGAAAATAATCTGTTATTAATTCTTGAATTTACTTTTTGAATGAGCAGAAATGGAGATTGATTCAAATATTGTTGAGAATCCTTTATTAAATGAGAGTGAAGAAGTTGAGGAACCTAAGAGGGGTATGTGTTTCACCTCAAAGCAAGAAGCGTACACATTTTATGCCAAATATGCTAAACATGTTGGGTTTTCTATAGCTTGTAAAACACAAGTTATCGGCGATGATGGGGAATTAAGATACTTTGGGATTGAATGTTCTCGATCGGGGAAGAGAATTAAAAAATCAGAAGTAAACCCTTTAAAGCCATCTCTGTCCACAAAAATTGATTGCAAAGCAAGGGTACGAGCAAGCCTACAAAAGGATGGGAGATTTATGTTAACCACAGTTAACCTTGAACATAATCATTTGAAAACATGTCAAAACAATCAAAAAATTAACTTTTAACTCATTTTAAATCACATAATTTTTCATATAAAAAAATTAAAAAATTAATTTTTAACAATAGTTCTAAAACACCCTATAACTGATAAGGCCAAGTGGGCCATCATCATTGCAATTATAATAAACAAAGGAGTAGAAAATGAAAAATGATTACCATATAGCACGCTGTCCGTAAACAATAGCTAGTAGATGATCGCACCCGTATGAACGTAGGCATATTGATTTTCCATTTGTTTTCCAGAGGCGAAAAGATCATGTCAGATTTAGAGTGATTGTTCGGTAATTTCAAAATATTGTTTTAAATTATTTATTATTTGATATTTATGAAGGTACTTTTTAAAAAATTTAACAATAATGCTTCAAACTATTAATTTTGATATTTTAATGAAACATTAATGACATAATAATGAACAAAAAATAAATAAAATAAAAACAAACCAAGACCAAAACATTACATCATTGTGGGTGGAGTCTACTGTCAACACATAAAAACTACCTTTAGAACTCAAAAATTAAAGTTCTAAGGCATTTTTCAAAATTTAATACAAAATACTATATCATATTATTTTAATCAATTAATATTAATTAATGTCAAATTAAAGCATCATATTCTATTGTTTAAAAGTAAAAAATAATTTCTCACTGGTAATATTTTATGACTCAAAGATTATTTAACAAACTAAAAAAAAATTAATTATATATTCAAAAGTTGATAGAGATTCCCGTTTATTAACCTTTAGTTTAAAATCAATTTACAATCTAATCCAAAATTTTTCATAATTAACCCTCCAATTCACCCCCTCCCAAAAAAAAAAAAAAAAAAAATTGCTCATCAAAGGTGTTAAGGTCCAGGTATTATTATCACAATGATAAAGATCAGGTCAAGATTACAGATTGTAATTATTTTTAGAGATGCTTTAAAGAAATTTGTTCATCTCTAATTTTCTTTTTAATAGTAGAAATTATTTGACTATAATTAATAATAGACAGACTATAACCAATTGATAATAATAACTTTAAACGATTTAATTCATCCTCTAAATTAGATGGAAAATGTTTGAGGGTCACAATTTTTGTGGTCATAATGGCTCAAAGCTGTTAAAACGACGTCGTTTCGTTTTGACAGTTTTAAGCCATTGTGACTAGAAAAATTGTGACTCTCTAACATTGTTGAAATTAGATATATATTGCAAACTATCATTGATTTTTGTACGAATATCAAAAATTAAAAGCATAATCATCACGCTTTTGTTCATAAAAAGAAATTATAGAGAAATACTTACACAACTTCACAAGCTTTGAAGCAAATTGGACGAAGCATGTACAGTTCTTCAAAATCGCACTCACTAGCACACTCACACTCACACTCACACTACACTATCACACTCACTATTATTTGGAAAACTTCTTGTTGAAAAACTTGCTTTGTTATGCGGAAAAGATATGGGAACGGACTTGAAATAAATTGGAGTCCGAAGAGATGAGAGATAATCTGCTTTTTAGCTTTTGAACTGGAGAAGAATCTGCTTTTTAGCTTTTGAACTGGAGAAGAATCTATTTTTAAGCTGGAGCGATAAGGTTTGCTTTAAAATGCTTTGTCGATAATTGTTTTGGAGAATCAGCTTTTGAGCTGGAAAGTTTGCCATCACATGGGTTTATATGGATGAAAGTGACTATCCTTTTTATAAATTATTGAGATCAATTCCTTGACACGTGCCAGAATAATTCTCGCCAAGGTCATGAGTGTGAATATGAATTGGAGATGAGGGTGGTGAAATTGTTGGTGGAACTCAATTGATTACAATTGTATGCTTACAAGGTTTCGGATTTGTTCAATGTACGGATGAAGAAGAAGAAGAAGAAGAAGAGAGAGAAGACTTTATTGATATATCACATTGTGTGTTATACAATGAGGGGAAGGAGGCTATATGTAAACTAAAGTAGATTAGGGTTGATGTCATGGATGACATCATAATAGGGTTGATGTCATAGATGATGTTAATGATGTTGCTCGATTTTGATAATGTCTAAAATGCATTAGATTTATTGTGATTTTTAGTACTCATATTTTACATTTTTTAACACAAAATATTGTCTATTAAAATATACGTTGTATGATGTATCTAATCTAAATATTATTTGAATATAATTTACTGTGCATCATAGATTTTTTAATAGAAAAATTGCAATGTAATTAGTATTTCACTATTTATTTTTTGACAATCGGTACAAAAGTTACTGTGCAAATAGTGATTACTATTCACCGAAAGCGACCTAGCCCATAATTTCAAAGGTTGCCTCGCGTGCTGAGCTGCAACTGTTGTCTTCAAGGAGTGTTAGTAATGGGCGCCCATGTGGCATGACCATTAAATTTGATTTTGAATCCTTATCCAAATAGGTTTTGATTTTGAAATCAAACCTATTTAGGATAACCACTCTTGAAACAGACGTTATCAGTTTGAACTGATATAGATAGATATAATATATATTAGATATTATCTGTATCTTAACTGATATGGATAGATATTAAATATTTGTTATATGGTTATGGGTAATCCAAGAGAAACAACGTTGAGTCTGTTTTCTACCCATATACTGACTCTCTCCCAAGAAACAACGATCAAGTCAGTTGCACTGTGGTTTGTGTGGGTGATATTCACCATTGTAATATCACCCCACTGCTGGGATTGATTGATCTGATTCTGGAAGCACGTGATTTATCCACGAGGTTCTATCATCAAAAGGTATGATCTGATGATTTTATTCCGCTGCATGTTTTGTGTTTTGGTTTACAAGGAGTGTCCGTTTCCACGTGATCCAACGTGCAAAATCAAAAAAGGAGCGTCTCCTCTCCTCTAACGGATACATGTTTTGGTTATATAAGAAGTATTTTGCTTGGAGAAAAAGAAGAAGAGAAGAGAAGAAAAGAAAAATATGTGTTAATTCATTTGTTCTCAAAATATTATTGTGTTTCATTGAGTTATATTCTGTGTGAAAAAATTTGTTGAGAGTTTGAGTAAAAATTATAAAAGAGTTTTCACACCCTTATTATTTTTGTAAAAGAGAGAGTTTTTGTGAGTGATTTTTCAGGATAAAATCACTTAGGTTATGTGTGACTAGGTACTAGATTCAAAACTAGTTGGGATATTTTTGTGAGTGGTTTTTGGAATAAAATCACTTGGTTAGGTGTAACTAGGCACTAGATTCTAAACTAGTCGGAGTGATTAGATATGCTTACTTGTTGTAAAGGTTCATTAGCTCCCATGAAGTTAGTGGTGTATTGCTATTTGAAGAATAGTAGAAAAATTTCCTAGGAGGATACTTGTGGAGTAGATGTAGGTTTGGGTTAAGCCAAGCCACTATAAATCGCTGAGTTTGCTTTCTCTTCTCTTTACTTATTTTATTTCATTACTCTATTTTATATTGTTGTACGTTTTTTATTTATTTATTGTTTGGGTCAAAATTTTAATTTAGCAATTTATTTAGAAACCCAATTCACCCCCTTCTTATGTTGCCTTTTGGATAACCATTGGTATCAGAGCTTGGGCTTTTACATTTGACTCAACCATTTAAGAGTAGATCATGACAACCAATTTTGGTGCTTATTTTGCTGAAGGTCAATTACCTCTAGGCCACCATTTTTTGATGGCTCAAATTATACTTCCTAGAAAGTAAGAATGAAAATTTCATTCAAGTTTTAAACTATAAGCTATGGAGAATTATAGTCAATGGTCACAAGATACCCTCCAAGACCATCCAAGGACGAATCTTGCCCAAGGAAGAACACGAATGAGACAACAATGATTTGAGAAGCATTCAAATGAATACCAAGGCTGTGAATCTTTTATTTTTTGCTTTAGATTCTAATGAGTATAATAAAATCTGTACATGTGAATTGCCAAGGAAATTTGAGATAAATTAGAGACTATCCATGAAGGGACCAACCATGTTAAAGAATCTAAAATTAGTATGTTGATTCATAATTACGAACTTTTAAAATGGAATCCCATGAATCTATTTCTGAAGTGTTTTCTAGATTTACTAACATTATTGATGTTCTAAAATCTCTTGGTAAATCTTATACTAATATTGATTGATGAGAAAAATTCTCAGATCCTCGCCAAAAAATTGAGAGTCAAAAGTGACTGCTATTCAAGAAGCAAATTATTTAACAAGATTGAGCATGGAAGAGCTTTCAAGGTCTCTCATGACCTATGAACTTGTAATAATGAATGGAAGCAAAAAGACAATTGAAGCCGCTTGGGGAGATGATGATGAATGTTGCTCCGATGATGAAAGCAACAACAATGAAGCATCTCATATATACTTAATGGCAAATGAAGATGATGAGGTATGTGATTCTAACAACGAATCTTATTCTTTTGATGAATTAAAATCCGTATTTGAAGAATTTGCGTGATGATTTTCAAAAACTTGACATTAAAAATATTGCTCTTAAAAAATTTGCTTTCAAATTCAACAAAAGAAAATGAATTTTTATTTAATAAAATTGAAATGTTACAAAAAGATTTTTTAAAGAGAAAAAAAGAAAATGACATTTTGAAATCAAAAGAATCTTCTATCTTGAAAAAGGAACTAAATGATTTAAACCTGAAAATGATATTTTTAAAAATGAAATGAGATCTTGAAAAATAAAATTTTAACAATGAAAATGATATTTTGAAAAAGAAAATGATTCTTTAACAAAGGAGAAAGTTGTTTTGAACGAAAATATAGAAGATTTGAAAAATATTCTTTCAAAATTTTTTCAAGGAAGAGACACTTTGGATAAAATTCTTAAAAGTAAAAATCGTACATTTGGTAGAACCGAAATTGGGTATAAACCTTTTTAAAAAGGAAAAACTTTCAAAAATGATTTTGTTCATGCATCTTCTAGACACTCTCATCTCACGTGTCATTTTTGTAGTAGAAAAGATCATATTTCACCTTCATGTCTGTAGATACCCTATTGTGACTGGCCTTAGAGTATCTCCAACCCAATACTCTCGCCAAGAGGATGAAAATAATTTTTTTTTATTCAAAAAGTAAATATAGAGTATGTCACTATTCATTTAAACTCCAACCACAAACCTTTATTTTTTTCTCAAAATATTTCCCTCCAAAATTAACCATTAATTTTCCCTCCATTAATTTCCCTTCCATCTATTTTCTTTGCCATCTATTATTTTATAGAAAAACAAAAGCCCTCATACAACAAATTTAATTTTGTACAGGAGCTAATAAATTTTGCAACATTAATAATTTTTTCTTAAATACATTTAATATTAGACTCATTTTAAAGATCTAATTTTAATATTATTAATGATACCAAATTTATAAAATTTAGATGTACATATTAAAAGTTATTTGTATTTTATAACATATAACAAAAAATAGAAAAGGATATAATTGGTATATAAATTTAAAAGCAAAAGGGCTTGAGGACAAAATTGATATTTAAACAATATGAATAGTGTTATAGAGATTATCATTCATTTTTCGTACTCCCTCTATATTTGAAGGATGAAACATCCATCCTCCCAAATGGAGAAAGATATAGAGGATGAGTCAGAGCTGAGAATAGAGAGAGGATGCTTCAAATTTGAAGATATAGAGCATGGACTTAGGCACTTTCTTTTGATCACCCGATGATGAAAACAAGAATGTGCTATCTCACAAAATCCTTTGGAAAGATGGAATTTGAGTTTCAATCCTAACCATATACCTGTTTTGGCCAAATTGTTTAAAACTTGTTTAAAAACTCTTTTCAAAATATCTTGCGCGTAATTTCAAGCATTTCTATAATGTTCCAAGGCTTGTTTTTCAAACTTCAAGTATATATTTTCTTAGTAAATTGAGTGAAGGACAACGTGGAAATGAATGGAAGCGAAGATAATTCTATTGAAAAATCCCATTTTCTCTTTGAAAAAATTTGGCCAGTGAATAGTGCATGAATAGTGACCAGCTGGCATGAATAGTAGTTTGCTGGCCAAAATAGTAGCTGACCGGCTGAAATAGTACATGAATAGTAACCAGTCAGTATGAATAGTAGCTAATCGACCAATTAATTGGCCGGCTAACTAATTAATCGGTCGACTAGCCAAGTAATGGGATGGCTAGCCAATTAATTGGCTGGTCGACCAAATAATTAGCTAATCAACTTTTTTTTTTTTTTTTCCAAGAGTAGGGCAATTTTGATAGAATTTGATTTTTAAATGTGTGAAGCTCGCTAGTAGTCCATTTTAAGGCATCATATTGTCACGATTTTGGCTATAAATACCAACCTCCATCTATTATTAGAGGGGGTTTGATTTTTGCAAAACCAAAGCTAAGTTGTATTTCTCATTCTTTCTTCATTACACTGCTTTCTACATCTTCCTCACTGATATTGTCTCCTTGACTGAGTTTTCATTCAAACACACCATTATAGCCAAGTCTTCAAGCTCTAACCAAAGTGAGAGTGATTTTTGGCCAAAGTTAAGAAAAACAGAGAGTTAACTATAAACCTTGACACACCTCGAAAATAATTAACAATAATACCATCTCATGATAATTACCAATGAACAATACATTTCAGAATATGATATCTTTACATTCAGATGATCTAGTTGTACAAAAGATGCCACATGCAATTATACATTCATAAGCCCTAACCTTGAACCTATAGCATGTGTCATAAGAAGAAGATATGGAATAAGAGTTAAACAAATAAATGAATGCCTTAATGGCTACAACGTTCCAAGTCAATTCTTGTTTACAACAAAAGTGAGTTTGAAACTCAATACAGATAAAGATCTTGGCTTGCAAAAAAATAATTACAATAATAACAAAAGAAGCTCTTGGCTCTAAGTCCTCCCAAGCTATGACTTTTATAGCGATTCTGGTTTAGACCCAACCATTTTGATGTTTTGGATCCGGGTTTCATTCTCTTATATAGTGGTTCATGTCTTGTTTTCCCTTATTTCTCTTTTGAGTTTGGCTATTAGGATGTGTTGGTTGTGTTTTGAATAGGATAGTGTAGCTCGACTTTTTTGCGCCCCCTTCAAAAGACGAATAAGCCGTACA